TGCAAGCTTGGCTCTGCTGCCCCACCAGCACCGTCGGCCTCCTCTTCTGCCCGCCCGCTGCCCCGCACGTGCGTGACCAGCGCAGCCTGCAGGTCGTTGGCGTCGAAGTGTTCCGGAGCATCCTGAGGGCAGGCAATATGTCACGATGCTAGGGCACATGTTCTCGGTATAGTCACGATGCTGGGCACGTTTTCTCGGTATATGGTTAAAGTCTGTTGAAAGCCAACAAAAACCAACATAAGGAGAGCTCGCGCCCGCCCGGTCCTCGATGCCTTCGTTGTCGCTGTTTTCTGCCAGGTCCCCATTGGACTGCAGCTCCCGCGGTAGACAGTAGACAAACCAGAAGTTCCGGACGTAGCGGCGCAGAGACTCCGTGGCAAACCCTCGCGTGGAGAACCACAGTGTTAGGGCATCGCGCCAGGTGCTGCAACCGCCCATTAGGTCTGCGACGAAGGGCACGTCGGCCGTGGCATCCGCGGCATTGGTGGTCCAAGGGCAGAAGAGCAGCATAGTCTTCTGCGCTTGCTCCTCTTCTGTGCGACAGCCCTGGGCGCCGTAGATGACGGGCACAAGCGGCCGCTTGCGCACCACGATGACCCAGTCGTGCCGATACGGCTGAGCTCGCTCGCCGTGGCCGAGCGGCAGCCACCCCACGCCGCCTTGCTCCTTGATGTGGTAGTCGATGGCGGGGGCGAGCTTGCTCCGTGCCGCCCCGCGTGCAAGCTTCGCCTTGCCAGCCTCTGTGAAGCGCACTTGGTACTTGTCCGGCTCTCGCTCCTCCTGTGCCAGCGTCCAGGGTTGCGACGCCTGCTGGTAGTGGTAATGCCGCGCAAATTCGAAAGCCGAGAGCTGGTGCACTCGCGGATCGCGACCTCGCTCTGCATACAGCGTCCAGGGCGGGCAGCCGGTTACCTTCTTGCTTCCGTAGCCTGCGCGATACCGAGCGTCTTCTTGGACGCGCCTGGGCTCGGTGGGCAGTTGGTCTTGCGCGACAGCCGCGTCCAGCAGGCTCAGTCCATAAGCCAAGGCAAAGTCCGTGACCTGCGCGGTCTTTACAGACTCCGCCCGCGTGGGGTCCATGCTCTGCGCCTGGTCGACGAGGTTGATGCATTCCACCGAGGCGCGGCACACTCCTCGCACGTGGCAGTCCGTGGCCAAGCGCTTGCTGTGCCTGCTCATGGCGTAGCCCGTCGGCTTGCCCTCGAG